CCCCATGCCATGCATACAGGTACGTACCAAGCCTTAGCTGTGCTGCCATCATCACCTTGCGTGGCATGCAGGCTCAGCCACCGGCTGGGAGTCCATGGATACCGTTTGAGTTTGCGGCTGTGGAACTGCAAGATGGTCATGGTCCAACAGACATGCAGGGAGCTGGATGGATGATACAACCAGCTGCAATCGGGTTTCTTTCCCTTTAATAGGAGCCAGAATATTGTATTGGGCTGGAGAAAGCGTCTGGTTGCTTGGGGTTCTCCAGATTACATCTACATACTGCCAGGCCGCACTAGGGCTCCTTACATAAGGAGCGTGTGTAAGGGGGCAAGTGCAAACATGCTCTCGCGTCAACGAAATGTATGTACGCATGCGGCGGCCTTGATGATGCCGCATTCATGCAGAAGTAGCGGCTAATTAGGAGCGAGCAGGGCTGAGGCCTACTGCACGGGCACAGCTGGGTGTGGCGGTGTACGCTGTGCGTGAAACATGACGCCTGTGCCTGTGCCTGTGTGTGTAAGTGGGTGTAAGTGGGTGTGCGTGATGTTGTGTAAGGCTAGGGCGCCGGAGAGCGGATGCTGGGGCGTGCTGTGCCTAGCTTCGACATCATGGTGTAGTGGAATCACATCTGTCTCACACACAGGAGGTCCCCAGATCGAAACTGGGTAATGTCAACAGGCCCTGGGCGCAGTCCTCTTGCTGCGGTGCACTGCGACAGGTTGGCCGCTCGTCCAGGTGCCTGCAATGCTGGAATGAGATCACATGCTTGGAACTGGGTGCAGGTGTGCAACTCCAGTTGGCTGTTGGGGGGAATCCAATATCATCAAGCACAGGCACAAGGCATGCCGTGCAGGGCTGTTATGCGGGGCTTTGCACAGCACATTACTCTTTATGATCCAGACTACTAGCCAGGACGGTATCTTGGATCTTGCATACCCAGTCAGGGAGCCATGTGTAATCCTGCACCGGCAGGTGTATCCTCCACCCACGATCCCCATGCCATGCATACAGGTACGTACCAAGCCTTAGCTGTGCTGCCATCATCACCTTGCGTGGCATGCAGGCTCAGCCACCGGCTGGGAGTCCATGCATACCGTTTGAGTTTGCGGCTGTGGAACTGCAAGATGGTCATGGTCCAACAGACATGCAGGGAGCTGGATGGATGATACAACCAGCTGCAATCGGGTTTCTTTC